GGCCTCGGCACCGTCGCGAGCATGGCCTCCGTGGCGCGCTACGCGCGCTTCACGGCATCCATGCGCGCGGTCTACGGAACGATGGAGGCGCGCCTCGACGCGGCGCCTCCGGGCTCGGCGAACGCGCTCGTCTGGCGGCGGCACGGCGACGTGCTCCGGCGCTTCGACCGGCTCGACGCGGACCTCCGCGACGTCGCCGCGGAGGCGCCGGAGCTCTCGCCAGCGACGGGAGATTACGTCGCCGCCGTCGACGCCGCGGCGGACGCGGACGAGGCCGACGGCGGCGGGCGGATGCTCGGGCACCTCTATTGTCGCTATTTCGCGGATCTCTTCGGCGGCTCCATGCTCGCCGCGCCGTACAATCTCGCGCTCGGCCTGCCGGCCGGGACGCCGCGGCACTACTCCTTCGAGTTCGCTGGAACGCGCCGCGACTTCATCGAGGACGTCTACGCGTCTTTGAACGACGCGGGCGCCGGCGTCAACCACCACATCGTAACGGCGGAGGCGCTCGTCGCGTTCCGCAAGAACGTCGACGTCTACACCGAGGAGCCCGTCGCCCTGGACGCGGCGCGCGGCGCGGCGAACCTCGTCGCCGGCGGCGCGCGGCGGGTGTTCGACCGGGCCCGCGCGGCGCGGCCCTGAAAGATACGTGTTAATAGTCGCGAGTATGAGCTTCGCGATGAACCACGGCGCGCACGTGCGGCGGGCGACCGCCTTGCGACGGATCGGCGCCCGGGAGGCTGGGCGCCTCGGGACGGCCTTCCGAGCAGAGGCGAGAACTCGAGCTCGAGTCACCCAAAACAAGCTTGGCAAAAGTTGCGGCGCCGAGAGATGGCCGCGCCCGTCGACTACGGCGGCCTCGCGAACCCCTTCGAGGGGGGGGACGACGTTCCGTCGGGCGAGGAGTCGGACGAGGAGCTCGTGCGGCTCACCCCCGCGCCGGCCGCGGAGCGCTCGGACGTCTGGACGGGCTTCCGGCGGCGAGCGGCGCGCATCGCCGCCGGCCTCGTCGCCTACGCCGTTGTTTTGACTGTTGTTGATGTTACGCGGGTAACAACAATCAACACCGACGCCGCCGCCGAGGACATTCGCCTGCGCGTCGCCCTGCCGGCCGCGGGCGCGCCGATGCTTCTGAAAGCGACGGCGTCCTTCGACCGGCCCGACGACTGCGCGTACGCCGTCCGCTACGCCCCGACGGCCGGGTCGTCATTGCCGGCGCTCTGGACCGCGGCGACGCGGACGGCGGCGTCCCTGGACCTGTATCGCCTGCGCCCCGCGACGGCCTACGCCGTCGAGCTTTTTCGGAGCTGCGCCGCGGACGAGCCGGAGCTCGTCGGCTCCGCGACCTTCACGAGCCGCGCCACGGGCTTCCTGCGCTTCGACGGCGCGCCCTACGCCGACGTGCGCGGCGCGCCGTCCTGGGCGCTGGGGTCCCTGGCGACGTTCCCGGGCTTCGAGGCGTCTCACGACAAGGTCTTCGAGGGTTTGTTCGCGATCGACGCCGAGGGCTGGGTCGTCTGGGCCTACGCGGCCTGCGCGCCCGAGGCCTGGGACCGGACGGCCGCCGGCGCCGTCGTCGTCTTGTCCCGCGCCGGCGGCGGCTGCGCCGGCGCGGTGGGCCGCGGGGACGCGCCCGCCGCGTTCGAGAAATTGCGCGCCGACGGCGAGACCGTCGACGCGGCGACGTCGCGCATCAACGTCGTCGCCGTCGACGGGACGCTGGAGGCCCAGCACCTCGCGACCTGCGGCGGGCCGCCGTCGAACTTCTCCGCCGTGAGCCACGAGGCGCGCGTGCTGGAGGACGGACGCGTCGCGACGACGTCTTACGGAGTCCGCGTCGGCGACGCGGCGACGCGGGACCCGGACGGGACGACGATTTCTTACGGTCTCGTGGCGTCGTCGCTGATCGACGTCTGGGACCCGGCGACGGGCGCCTTCGAGACGCTCTACGATCTGGCGGATTTCGCGCCTTTACCGT